CTAAATTATTTTGTAAGTACCAAATAGTACTCAATGCAGAACATAGTACTTTTAAAGATAGAATCTCTATCCTCTAAGAGCATCCAAATTAAGCAAAAAATGAGTATATATTTTAAATTACTGTCTGAGAGAAGAAGGGGGAAAATATAAGTCTTAATAAAAATAATTTGTGCGCTGTGCATGGTGGCTCATACCTGTAATCCTAGCACTCTAGGAGGCCGAGGTGGGAGGATCGCTCAAGGTCAGGAGTTCAAACCAGCCTGAGCAAGAGCAAGACAGCCTGTCTCTACTAAAATAGAAAGAAATTAATCGGCCAACTATAAAAATATATGAAAAAATTAGCCGGGCATGGGGAGCCATTCCTGTAGTCCCAGCTACTCGGGAGGCTGAGGCAGAAGGATCGCTTGAGCCCAGGAGTTTGAGGTTGTTGTGAGCGAGGCTGACATCACAGCACTCTAGCCCTGGCAACAGAGTGAGACTTTGTCTCAAAAAAATAATAATAATAATAATTTGTGCCTCTATAATCTATTTGGAATTTGCCAGAGGTACTAATAAATTCCCCTTTTCTACTCATTCATTCCTTCATTAAATGCTTATTGCGTTCCTGGGCTTTAGAGATGCAAAATGAACAAGACAAGGACGAACAAGGCCTGTCTTTACCAAGCTTAGGCGGCTGGAACCGCAGTGTATTCTCCTGTGGAACAGAACATGCGTGGGGCGTGCACAGCACCACCATCAGAAGCACAGGTGGGGATTTAACCAATATCCGGCATCGAAAGCTGGAGTAACAATTGCAGAGGGTTTTAATGTGGTAGTAATCTTAAAGTATGTCCACCTGGAGGAAGCAAAAAAAAAAAAAAAAAACCAAACCCAAAATGGAAAGTCTTTTTGTAAAATGCGAATTATACTGTGTAAATATCTAAGACTAGCATTTACACCTAACTGAACAGAGGAAGGATAATCCCTTAGGCACGTACTGTTTGTATGTGCGCAGGTCTAGGAGCGCAGTCTGTATAACGTGAGAATAGTGTGGATGTTGATGGCATTACCCACAAACCCGATTCTCCCCAGAGCCTGGCATGAAGAGGCGTTGTATTTCAGCAGCGTTCTTTTGTCAGCCTCAGTTAGTGTACTGATTGAAGAGTCAATGTTAAGAGGCTGTATAAACCACCTGCTAAAATATTCTCATACTTATCAGACTACCCTGGGAAGAGGGCACTGAAGTCAGCACATTAACTCTTTCAGAGCAAGGAGGCTCCAATCAGGTCCATGCAGCAGCATCGGGAAGCAAAGCAGCAAGGCTGGTCCTGGAAGCAACTCAACCCTGAGACCCTCTTGGAGCCTCTGAAAAATCTGGGAAAGAGGCCGCAGTTTAGTCAATTGAATTCAACTTCATCTACGGAGCAAGGATAACAAAAGAGCAAGTGCAAGTTACCTGCTTCATCGTAGAGAGCACAGACATAGGACTTAGGGTGTCAGCCAAAGGATCCCAGTACATCGAAACAGAGGGAACATGGGCCAGGCGCGGTGGCTCATGCCTGTGGTCCTGACACTTTGTGAGGCCAAGCCGGAAGGATCACTTGAGCCTAGGAGTTCGAGGTTGCAGTGAGCTATGGTCCCAATGCTGCACTCCAGCCTGGGCGAAGAGGGCAACCCTGTGTCTTTAAAGAAAAAAAGAAAGAGAGGGAACATGGATAATGGAGCATGCTGCTGCTACAATTTAAATTTGTGGAACCAAAATTTCCGAAATCACATAATAATGCACTGATAAATATTATACTTGAGTTTCTACAGATTTAAAAACAATGGAAACCATTTTAGTGACTTACCAACAAGATAGTTCCAATTCACTATTTCATTTTATAGTGATTTTGTAAATGTACTATAAACAAAAAAATACAAATGTATTTCTTTTATAGTGATTTTGTAAATGTACTGTAAACAAAAAATTACAAATATATTTCTACATACAGAAAGTTTGAGTTCTCACTGTTTGGGGTACTGAATAAAAATAGTCGATAGATTTGGATAAAGTTACTTGCCTATGGCCGGGCGAGGTGGCTCATGCCTATAATCCTAGCACTCTGGGAGGCCGAGGCGGGCGGATCGCTCGAGGTCAGGAGTTTGAAACCAGCCTGAGCAAGAGCGAGACCCCGTGTCTACTATAAATAGAAAGAAATTAATTGGCCAAATAATATATATACAAAAAATTAGCTGGGCATGGTGGCGCAAAAATTAGCCGGGCATGGTGGCACATGCCTGTAGTCCCAGCTACTTGGAAGGCTGAGGCAGCAGGATTGCTTGAGCCCAGGAGTTTGAGGTTGCTGTGAGCTAGGCTGATGCCACGGCACTCACTCTAGCCTGCGCAACAAAGCGAGACTCTGACTCAAAAAAAATAAATAAATAGTTATTTGCCTAGTAAATTGTGCCAAAAATAGGAGATTTATTATAAAGGTTATACTTCTGGCGAGTTGATTTTGGACCAACATTCCTGCCAAGAACAATTAGAAAACCTGGACTAAATATAACAAGCATTGGTTTGAAGGTAGCAGAGATCTACCAGGGCCATGGGCATCTTCAGGACCGAGACATGAAAGAGATGCAAGGCCAGGAGAAGGAAGCCCAACATTTCAGGCCACTTTTCCTCTTAAGGCAACTTTTGATTCAGAAAGCAAAAGCAGTAGCTGACAGGTTGAGGAGCTGAACAGAGCTTTTGGTCATCTCAAGGTCTGAGGGAATAAAACTTAGACTTCTGGGTCCACCCAAGAGGAAGGACGCTTGTAAACACCCTAGGGTTTTAGCTGGCACTACCAGTGCTAAACCCTTAGAAGGGTGAACCAAACATAGACCAGCTCTTAAAGACTAAAGCCCAGCTCTGAACCGTCTCAATCTCTGACAAAAATAAGGGGATCTGTCCCTAGCCCAGCTTTCTGACAAAAACAAAATTATTAATAAATCTTCTCTGGAGAAAGACCACATCGTGCAGAGCCTCAAATTATCACTAAAAAATTTCACACACAGTGTCTCATCCCAAAAAAACCAGGGCATAGGAATCTGGCAAATTCCACTTTAATCAAGTAAATCGAGATAAATATCACTAAAAATAGAACTCTCTGATATCATGTACCTCCCGATGTGACACACTAAGAAGGATACAACATCAGTTATATGGTATTTCTGTCAAATCAACAGAACCTGATTTTAATCAGGAGCAAACAAGCCCGAATTAAGAAACCTTATTAAAAACAACCCGTACTTGTCAAAACTATCAACATCATGAAAAACAAAGGCAGGCTGAGGTATGTGAGTATTACCAACTCCTTAATAAACAATATTGCCAACAGGGCAAGCTTCCTACTGAGTATCAAAGCAGAAAATAATAAAAAAAAGCAGTTGTAGAAGCTGCGAGTTTTGATCCACGTGCTCTTCTTCTCGCCATGTGAACCTGCTCGGGGCGCTTGAGTGGGAAGCAGAGATGAGCATTGAGCATCAGATCGCTCTGGTCTGCGCTGGTTATCAGCTGACACACGCTCTGGACGCTTTGCAGGAAGGCCGAGGCCCTGCCGTGGAAACAGCCGCTGAGGCTGTGCCCGGGGCCAGCCTTGCTCAGCCCCGTCCTTCCAACAGGTCCCTCCAGTCTTCCTGTTTCCTAACCTAATCTCCTTTCGGAAAGATGGAGATCTCACCTTATCTGAGGACCCTAAACAGTTTGGTAGACTTTTTATGATCTTAATTCAAATCATAGGAATTGAAGATTTCCAAATCAATTACTTAAAAAAGAGACATTTGTTAACCTTTGCCCAAATATAAAGTAATATTTTTCTGCCCAAATATGAAACCCAAGGAAAAAAATGTATATTTGCCACACAAAATCTTTTATTTGTGACTTTATAAAACCTCTCATACAATGACATGGCCTTTTCAATTTGAATCAAAAGTAAAAACACTCCTTTGGGTGTTCTCTTTAGGAAAATGTAATTAGCCTTGTTTATGAGATACACGCTATCCATTTCTCCTACTTATTGTTCTCGCGTTAGCAATACCATGGAAGCTTTGCCTCTAAACATATAAATGTTTTACTCAGGCAATGCCAACCATTTGATCTAAACTCTTGGAATGGGCCAGGCACGGTGGCTCACGCCTGTAATCCTAGCACTCTGGGAGGCCGAGGCAGGCGGATCGCTCAAGGTCAGGAGTTTAAGACCAGCCCGAGCAAGGGTGAGACCCCATCTCTACTATAAATAGAAAGAAATTAATTGGCCAACTAATATATATAGAAAAAATTTGCCAGGCATGATGGCACATGCCTGTAGTACCAGCCACTCGGGAGGCTGAGGCAGGAGGATCGCTTGAGCCCAGGAGTTTGAGGTTGCTGTGAGCTAGGCTGACACCACGGCACTTTGTAGCCTGGACAACAAAGTGAGACTCTGTCTCAAAATAATAATAATAATAAAAAAATAAAATAAAGAAATAAACTCTTGGAATGATTATTGCCCCCAACAAGAATTAATCATGAATTTGCCATTTGTGATGAACTTGTACTTTCTAATAGGGAATTAGGCTCCTTTCTCATTTTCTCGTAATGACCACTACGACAAGGGCCTGGCCCAATAGAAACCAGTTGTAACTTAACACCTGACTGCCTTTATCATCATTGGCAACGGGAGCACGAGTCAGGAAGACCCCAGTTTTACACAATATGACTTAAACAAGAAGGTAAGAGCTAGCACTATTTCATGAATTGCCAAAAACCTCTCCCACCCCTCACCTCTTCCTGTGATCTTTCTCTTTCTACTGTTTCAATTTCTAGTATATGAACATTACACAAATTACCATGTGTGAGTCACCTGATATTGTGGAGAAAGAAAGAAAAGAAAAAAAATATTTGTTCTTTTTCATGGTTATTGCTATGCAAACACAATGCTATATTTTGTATTTGTCACTGGAGTCATGAGTCGGCGCCCATGGTAACATGAGAGCTTTCCCTAACAAACGGATGCAGTTGAGAGGGAATGTTTGCAGGGACGTGCACCAGCAGCGTTCTGTAACACTTCAATCACGAACACCTTTTCCATTGTGCTCTAAAAAGATGCCCTGACTCTATTCCTGAATCTGCCATTGAATAGCTAAAGAGAATGAGAATTTCTGAATCTGGTATCCTCATTTTTTTAAAAAGGTGGGGGTGGACTCTATGGTCTTTAATATCCTCACCAGTTCTAAAATTCTGTGGCCCAGATATTATGGGATATGCACACTGCGTGGACACCCCCCTCCCCGGCCTGGCTGGTGGTGCAGGACGCTGGCACCAGCGGAAGGCGCTGAGGAAAGACGCCCCAAATGAGCGCAATGGGCAACACATGTGGAGGCAGGTAGAAGGGCCACACCTGGGGGCTAGGGCAGTCTCGAAGGATTCACGAAGACCTGAGACTCCAGCCAGGCCCAGCCGGGTGTGGCTGTGCCCAGGCTGCAGGAAAGCAGTGACATCAGGAGCTACAGCCCGTCTTCACTTCCGGCCAGGGAGCACTAGTGACACAAAGGTGAGCAAAACCAACCACCAGCCCGCCTCCCAGAGCCTGCTGGAGGACGGCGTGAACAGCCCAAGAGTGAGTCTCTAGGGCAGGCCCTGGGCAGGTGGGGTCACCTGCGGGGCATGTGAGCTGTGCGTGGGCCCAGACAGTGCGCTCACAGCTGTGGCAAGACCTGGTGAAGACGCACAGCAGGGGACCACAGCGAGGGCAGGGGGCTGAGCGCAGGGAGGGCCCGGTAACAAGGCAAAGCGAGGCGGAGGGAACCCACTGCCAGGCCCGGGGCGGCCCAGGCAGAGCAGGATCCGAGGGGCCAAGCAGAGGGAGGGGACGGCTTCCCACGGGGCCAGGACCTCAGGGCACAGACGCCCGCGGCCCTTAGTGGAAACCTGCGTCCTAGCCAGAGTGCTAGAGATTTTACTGCAGGGAAGGAGAATGAGATTTTGGGGCAGGAGGGTGATGTGAGCCACATAGCAGACAGTGACTGAAAGGGAGGCACATGTGGAGGGAGCTGCCGCAGACAGCGGTGCCTGGCAGCTGGGCAGGCAGCGTGCCGAGGCAGCTGATTCAGCGGCTCGAGCTCCGGAAGGGGCCAGGTGAGAAACTCGCACATAACTAAGGATCACATTTTTTTTTTTTTGAGACAGAGTCTCGCTTTCTTGCCCAGGCTAAAGTGAAGTGCCATGGGTCACCTATGGCTCACAGCAACCTCAAACTCCTGGGCTCAGGGAATCCTGCTGCCTCAGCTCCCGAGTAGCTGAGACTACAGCATCGACCACCTGCCCAGCTAATTTTTTCTATAATTACGGCGCTTGCCATTAATTTCTTTCTATTTATAGTAGAGACGTGGTTCTCCCTCTTGCTCCAGGGCTGGTTTCCGAACTCTTGACCTCTAGCAATACTCCTGCCTCAAGCCTCCAGAGTGCTAAGGATTACAGGCGTGAGCCACCGTGCCCAGACAAGCGATCATATTTTATGATGACACCAGCTTAAATAAATGGAGGCAATCGAGGAACCTCGCCGTCGAATGGGCACTCGTTTGCTGAGATGGGACTGAGGAGGGGGCCAGAGCCATGCAAAGAGCTGGGCAGAGAGTTGTCTACGCAGCAGAGACTGTGGAGAGGGCCCCAGTGGGACAGGGGGATGCATTCCAAAGGGAACAGAATACCCAGCTAGGCTGGAGAGCCGGAGAAAGGGGCAGCAGGGCAGCAGTCACCGAGGAGGACTGAGGACGGGGGCACAGAGCTTGTTCCAGACAGGGAGCCAGGCAAGGGGACACTGAGAGGAAGCTCAACTCCTGTTGACACAGGAGCAGCCCTGGAGACGAAAGCAGGACTGCGCTCAGGCTGAGACCAGACCAGGGAGGCACCACGGCTGAGCGCAGCGGAGGAGCGCAGGCCTGGGAGGGAAGCCCTGGCCTACGGCCAGCAGCGAGGCGCCCCACTGCGCAGACAGCTGGAGAAGCGGTGGGAGGTGGGCGGGAGCACGTGTGCGGTGCGTACCTGGGAGTACCTGGGAGCCGAGGCTCAGAGCGGAAGCTACAGCCGCAAGCCGCCAGAGCAGGGCAGGGAGATGCCACCAGATTCCAGGGCGTTTGACAGTGGCGTTACGAGCTTGCCCAAGCAGGCAGAGGAACCTGCAAGTGTCTCAGAACCCCGCCCAGGTTATTTGCCGAGGGTGATGACAGATCACACATGTGGAGCCCAGTCGCCACCTGCATCAAAAGAGATCATGGAGCTGGATGGGGTAGCTCATGCCCGTAATCCTAGCACTTTGGGAGGCCCAGGTGGGAACATCATGTGAGGCCAGGAGTTCCAGACCAACCTGGGCAATATAGCAAGACCGTCTTTACAAAGAATTACTAGCCTGGTATGAGCACTTGCCTGTAGTCCTAGCTACTCAGGAGACTGAGGTGGGAGGATCGCTTGAGCCCAGGGTGTCAAGGCTGCAGTGAGCTGTGATCATGCCACTGCATTCCAACCTGGGTGACAGAGCAAGACCCCCTCTCTAAAAGGAAATTAAAAAATCACAGGTGCAGAAGAAAGTAAAGGAAAACACCAAGGACTTGCAGTATCTTTGAGTCATGAGACTAAGGGTAAATTGGAGGGGTTCCTTTGTTTTCAGATTTTCTACAAGGATTATCTATTATACTTAGAGCTGAAAAACATGCTTTAAAATAATCAAACTCGGATTACTCACAAGCACTCAAAGAGGAGCTAGAATCAGAAGAGAGACACAGAAATGAAGCACCTGTCAGAACAGAAATTTGACTAGTGGGGAAGCCTGTCAGTGGAGAATGTTGAACATGGTTCCCAGTGTGGCCTGTACGAGAAATGGCTGAGGCCCCTGACCTCTGGTGGGGGCTCAAGCCACGTTCTCCCTCTTTCGGCCCCCTCCTCCTCCCACAAGCCTCGGCTGCAAGCACTGCTCCTGCCATACTGCCTGCTGGCCGCTCTGCCACCACCACCATGTGACCTCCTTGCTATACCTGGCCCACCTTCTTCTCCCCAATCCAACACGCTGAAGAAAAGGCCCACAATTGCTCAGGTCTCCAGTGCCTTCCTAGGTCTTGCCCTTCTCAAAGTACAGTTGTTCAAATGCCCTGAAATGCCTGGGCCTCCTTTCAGTAAATTCTCTTTTCATTCCAAATAATTACAGAGTTGGTGTCTGAGACTTGAAACCCAGACAACCTTAGCAATTACAAGTGGATTACTCCAAAGCTAAAACACACAAAATGCAATGAATGCAGAAATGTACTGGGGGAAAGTGACGTCATGGTTGGTTGTAATAAGATCCTCGATAGTCATTTAATGATCATCTCTCTACCTCCTGCCGTTGTCTTCCCGGACAGAAATGGTTTGGTAATCCCCTTTGGAGAGCTGAGAGCTCTCTAGCCCTGGCTCAAAGGCATTCTCCCATACTGGCCACACTTGGATTGTTTGCATGTTAAAACAACCTGATTATATTTTTAAAGGAATGGTTTCTTACTAATGATAGTCTAAGTTCTATAGAGTCACATAAATAACAGGAAGTCCTTGTTATATGGTACAGCTGGTCACAAAATCACAGTGCTATGGGCCTCTCTCTACTTAGTGCAAAAGGAAGAATTTTTACACACTATTAAGATACTTACCTACATTTACTGGATAAGAAGCAAGAACATGGCTCACGCCTGTAATCCTAGAACTCTGGGAGGCCGAGGTGGGAGGATCGCTCAAGGTCAGGAATTCAAAACCAGCCTGAGCAAGAGCAAGACCCTGTCTCCACTAAAAATAGAAAGAAATTAATTGGCCAACTAAAAATATATAGAAAAATTAGCTGGGCATGGTGGCGCATGCCTGTAGTCCCAGCTACTCAGGAGGCTGAGGCGGAAGGATTGCTTGAGCCCAGGAGTTTGAGGTTGCTGTGAGCTAGGCTGACGCCACGGCACTCTAGCCCAGGCAACAGAGTCAGACTCTGTCTCAAAAAAAAACAAAACAAAAAAACCCACAAAGCTAATACGATTCATTTTAACAGAACATTTTTAAATGTATCCCATTGAGAAACACTACCTTTCTTATTTTCCAAGGCAATCACGATAGGCCATGTGAATTCCACATAAAGGGAATTCCAGCACTTCCCTAACTTCCTCATAATGGGAATTAACTGGTTGCTTATGGATCACACAGCTCCCAGGTGGTTCTGACTTCGTGGGCCTGGCATGGAGCCCAGGGACTGTAACAAGTACCTTGGGTGGTTGTCGTCATCGGAAGGGCTGGATGCAGCCGTTGCTGTGTTCCTTCTCTTTGTTACTGATGCTGCTAATGTTGGCAGTTGTGGTCCTGAGGCTGTTGCATGTTGCATTCTGTAAGTTTGACTGTGATACGCTGCATATACTTCTCTGTTTTTCTCTTTTATGGGGTTCCTTGAGTTTCCTATATCTGTAGATTGATGTTTAAACACCATTAAATTTGAGAGATCAGGGTCTTTATTTCTTTGAACAACTTTTCTGCCATTATCTCTCTTCTCTTCTGCTAGGATTCTGATTACATGTATTTTAGACTACTTGAAATTGCCATACAGATCACTAAAGCTCTGCTCATTTTTCTTAAATCTTTTTTTCTCTTTTTTTTTTTTTTTTTTTGAGACAGATCTCACTTTGTGCCCAGGCTAGGAGTGAGTGCCATGGCGTCACTAGGTCACAGCAACCTCAACTCTGGGCTCAAGCGTCATTGCTGCCTCAGCTCCAAGTAGCTGGGGACTACAGGCATGCACCACCATGCCCAAGCAATTTTTTTCTATATGTATTAGTTGGCATTGATTTCTTTCTATTTATGGTAGAGATGGAGTCTCGCTCTTTGCTCAGGCTAATTTCGAACTCCTGACCTCAGCAATCCGCCCACCATCGGGCCTCCCAGAGTGCTAGGATTACAGCATGAGCCACCGCGCCGCCTTATTTTTTTTTTTCTCTTTATTCTTCAAATCTGATCATTGCTACTGATATTATTTTCAGAATCACTAACCCTTTCTTCTACAGTCTGCTGTTAAGTAGTTACATTTGCATTTTACATCCTATAGCTTTTAATTCTAGCATTTCCATTTGGTTCTTTTTTATGGTCCACAATCTCTCTGCTTGATTTCCTTTTGTTTTCCTCAATAAAGGACAATATTTTCCTTTAAGCCTTTATATTTTTGTTTCTTTCCTAAGGTTTAACTGTTTCAATTTCAAATCTGTTATTGACTGTTTTTATTTTTCCTTGATCATGGGTCACATTTTTTCTGTTTCACGTGTCTACTAGTTTTTTATTGTATGGTGGACATTGTGAATAATATGTTGTAAGGAGTTTGGATTATGTCATCTTCCCTTGTAAGATGTTGAGTTTTGTTATGGCAGGCATTTAAACTACTGTTATATCCTTTTGATCAGTATAGGTTAGTAGTATTCTTTGGGAGGAATCTATTTTGGTTTTAGACTTAGTCCTGAGTTATTTCCCTTACTCTGTGGCATAGTTCTTTCTCCCAGGGCGTAGTCT